TCAGTTTTATTCTCATTTGGTTTGGGTCACACAAATCTTTCTTTGGATCCAAAATGATTGTTGGGGACATCGGCTTTATAGCCAGTTTTTACATACAAAGTTAGACAGGGCACAAAACAAATTATTGGGTTTTGGGTACTAGATCAGAAAAATAAATGTATAAATACATAAATAATAATTATTACAGTTATAAAATAAAAAAAACCCCATAGCTTGGGAAACAAACTAGTCTCAAGACTAATCTTGTTTTGGCAGGATACAAACTGAACAGGTCAGGGTCTACATTGTTATGTGATCTTGTATTTATTCATTCTCACTCAGTGCTCCTTTGGTTGCTAATTTACAATTCTTAGTCCAAAACTCCCTTTCCAGCAGTCTACTAGTTATTTTGATCTCCATGATTTAAAAATCCTACCAGAATGAGCAGCACCGCAGGCTTTTCTGACAGGATCAGCAAACAGCACGGGTATGCAATCAGCCCCTGGAGCTGCTATCGTAACACCCTTCTGATTCGTAACTATTCCGTCATAGCTGTCAGGCTCTGTCTTTCCCATAACACACACAGCATTAGCATGATCAATCTGTCAAGACAAAACCAGAAAATGGATAGTGATATGGCAGCAAAAAAACCAGTTCTGACTAATGCGAGGATTTTTCTTTGACACAAAACACACTTCTTTCTACACCAACTGCTCATGCATGGAAATCAGGCACTCCCTTGTTCAAATGCCATCCAGATGTATCCGTAGAAAGCCACTATAGAAGTGGTGGCGTATTTTTCTTTTAAGAGAAACTGCTCTGATCATTTATCTGATTATTCTACTCTGTGGTAAATTAAATGTTAGAATATTCTTGGAAGAAACAGTGCTGCTTCTCCCTATACTGCCAAATGGCTGACAGTTTGGATGGCTATTCCCACAGATAAACTACCAGCATAAATGTTTTAATTGTCCTGCTTCTCACAAGCTCTTGCTGAGAAAGGTAAGAATAATGCCAACAGTTTTAGCCAGCGATACATGAAGGAAGATCTGATCCTTTTACAGAAATCCATTGTTTGATAAGATACCTTGACTCTGTGAAAAGTCTCTGGATTAAATCCTGCAGCATTAGCTAGCCGGCGGAGATTTTCTTTAACAACAGCTTGTGGGTCCCTCCGCTTGGAACTGCTGAAGAGATTGCAGGAGCTTAGAGTTGGTATGTAGGAGATGCCACCTGTCCTTGTGGTGAAGCCATGTAGGAAGATATCATCTGGCAAGGCAGATGATAACAAAACGATAACAAAAAATTACTTTCAACACAAGACCAGTTCAGGTACAACATGCTTTTACACTGAAGAGACCTGGAATCAGCCAATCAAGTTGAGTATGGCTTTACCTTGTATTTAGCTGTGGCATTTAAATTTAAGGATCCTAAGTTTCCTTCTTGTTCATAATCATGATCCACTGAGGCCAAGGTAGAGGGGTTTGAGCAAGAAGGAGTCCTGGCAGATTTAGCCTGACTTTTTGCAGAGTTGTAGAGCAAACCCTAGAGAAGAGGTAACTCACTGAGGAAGATAAGAGTAGATTTTTAAACAAACATTCCAAGGTGGCATCTCCCAAGTTTTTTTGGCAAATGAAGTACTAGTCCTCAAGACTTCACAGAATCTCAAGCATCTTTGTAAAGTACACTGAAAGCACTGAGAATTTCTAGAGTTATTGAAAAATCCTGTTTTTACAGTGTGGATCATTTATCATGGCCTCACCAAATGCAATCACTGCTTTTGGGGGTGATGGGACGAGGGGGTCTGCATGGCAAAGTTGAACACAGAAAGACAGTCCCACAACTAGTATTTTTGCTATCTTAACAGCTGACAAGCTTAGTGACATAATCAGAGTTGAGATTCAAAACCTCTTTTACATAGTGTGATCCTTTCAAAGTCACAGTCAAAAACTTGAAGCACAACAAAGGCAAAGATGGCTTTAAGTAATTCATGTTCTTTCCAGGCTCTGGATCATTTCAGACATATTTTTAGGGACAGTTCCAAATTTTTGCAGTAGCAAACCTCTCAGCTTTCCCCTGAATCCTCTGAATCATTAGACCTCATAATCACACCGCTTGAGAGACACGCTGCAGTAAACTGGGTCATGCCATGGCAGGGACACTGAGACATCAGTTTGACTAACCAGGCATGCGTGAGGCTGCAGATCAGGAGAAACTCCTGTCCTGCCTTTCCAGATGATGGTAACTCTCAAAGTGTGTAATTCCCACACAGAAGGGAGGAGATTTGACTGCCTGCAGTAATGCTCTCACTAAACCTGGGCATCTCTTCCCTCTGATCACACCCCAGGCCTGGAGCAGACTTGCCAGTCTTTTACTGTATCTCTATTGACACTTCCCCCTCTTATAGACATGATACACTACTGCAACATCATATAGAGTTATTTGCTGCCTGAAGACATTTCCAAATCTTACCCATTTTGCAACTCCCTTGAATAAGTATGCTTGGAAACAGCCTCCGTAAAATCTGTTAGCTGGGATTCTCTTTACCTGGGATCAGGGAAGATCTGAGGATGGTGAGCTCCCCTTTCAGGCTCGGCAGGCTTTCCAAGTATATCTGAATCTCATTTTGGATAAGTGCCACATCCTGTGTAGGAAGTGTCTGCTCTTCACTCCGAGATTCAGCTATCTGTAGGTTTTCACAATCAGATGCCACCTGTAAATCCTCAAATTCAAACTGGTAGACTGCTGTAAAGAGATGGTCTATATATACTTTCATTAAGTCTTTTCTTAAGGTAGGGAGAATAACTTTAATGATGCTTAGGTCTTTTTCATCCAGTCTTTGTTTGATGGTGTACAAAGCAGCAGCTGTAGTCAGAGCACATACCACCTCCAGTTTTTTCTTGAGATTCTGAAAATCTCTCAGAGCTGGAAGCAAGGACGCTTGTTCGCTGTTCCTTTCACTCCCCTGCCTCTGACAACACATGACATAAACAAACGGAGCAGGGATGGAAGAGCATTCCTCAGTATTTTCCAGTGTGTTATGTAGTAATGCTTGGATCTCGTTCTGCAAGTTGGCTGGTAGGCTAAACAGATCTATCAGTACTGCTTCCACCATATTCCAGGATATTTAAAGATTCCTACAACTGCCAAGTAGTCAGTAACAAAACATGAAAAACAAACAAAAAGGCAAGACAGCATCATTAGTCCAAACACAGAATTATGTTATTAAGGTAATGCATTAGCGATACTGTGTGGAAAAGGTGGCAAAGCAGTAACTACTGTCTTAAGATTTCCTCACTGCATCAAAAGAAACTTCAGCAAAAGAAAAGTAGCAGAAGTGGGAATTATTATGTATTTATTTAAGTATTTCCCTACCACCCCACCTACCTCAGGTTTTTCCCAGGTCAGGGATGATAAAAGGTTAGTACATAACATTAAATCATTGAATTCATTAACCCACATTAGCCTAATGGATCTTCTTGACCTCTGACTTTTGGGCACTCCCCAGCTCCCATGAGGGGAACCAAATACAGAGGTCCCTCAACTTGCTGGGACTGGAAGAGTTTCTGTAACAATTTTTTTGGAGGCATTTTACACACTTATTGCTGAGGTGGAGCTCATGTCTGCTACCCCTTCTGGCAGCAGGGGTCCTGGGGGCTGTAAGTGCAATGACCTCTTTCCCACAGACCTTCACAAGACTTTTTGCACTTCTCCCTTTTGCGTTACCAAAAGTATTGACTTGCTAATTTCTGACTTCTGTGTGGAGGGGCACATGATTGGTATAGTTCTTCTTTTCAACATGCACAGAAACTCAGCACAGGTTACTGAAACTTTACCTAGTAACACAAGAAGTACACAGAACTAACAAAAAATAATGTAATACTGTGCACAACTTCCTGCCTCAGTTTTTTCACTTTGGTAGCTGCACGCTTTGCTCTGAAATCAAGACATGTTAAATTTATCCAAAATCATCCTGTAGTTCACAGCTTGTCTCGTGGTCTATGGTGTAATTCCAGTTTTGGTGGTGGTTTTGTGTTTTTTGTTTTTTTTTTTTTTACTTTTTTGGACTTTGTTGATTCAAGTCCAGCTAGGCTGCCTGCCTGTAGAAACTCGTCCATCCATCTCTTCCTCCCTCTGTTGCTATAACAACCTATTTCACATATCCTCTCAGAAGTGTCTTATTTTCTTTTCTCTGTCTCTGATAATTTTTCAGTTTCCAGTGCAAGCCTCCAGAGCTCTGGAACAAAAGACTAGATCCCTCTGCTTTGGGAACCTTGGACAGATGGCTATTCAGATTTCAAGACCAAGCACCGTGCTTGATCTAGGAGGAATATAGGCAGCTTTATCACCAGTTGTAAGACCCCCATAATCATTTAGAGTATACCTTAACACTACCATTTTTTTTGCACAGTAACAAATTGTGCATGACTATTAATTCCTTTGCAGGGAAATTAATATCTTTGCAGGAACAAAGAACTTGAGAATCTTTAAAGTCTTTGAAATCAATGCTCTGCTACCAGAGCTAACCATACCAGATAATGCCCGGCATTAATTTCCTACCCCAAGTCCTCATTCTCCTGTAACTACATGCATGTTCTGGCTTCACAGCACTTCATTATCCTGCAAAAATACTGCTTCTGTGTGTACTTGAGGCCTACCACTATGGTGGACTTGGTGTCCTCCTTAGCATTTTATGGTTGACAATGGGTTCCCAGAGTTTCTACACTCAAATGAGACATCAAAGACCTTTCTGTTTTTAATGGATTGTTTATTCAGAGTAGGTTTTGCAGAAAACATTCTGCATTTTCTTCATTGTTCTTTCCCCTAGAGTGGAAGAAAAATAATCCTGACTGAAAATGTTTTCCTTTCTGCGAGTTGAACGCTTACAAAGATTAATTAGTGACCATCAAAATAGGTGAACTAAAAGTATCAAAATGTGACAGCAGATAAAAGCATCTGCAAAGGAATTTATGACTCTTGATTTTGCTGAGAGTATTATTTACACACAGCTGATAACAGATTTTGGAGAAAACAGCTTGCTAAGAAAACAGTGTTGAAACAGGCTCATGTGGAAGACCATGACTTGGGAAATCAGTGTATTTCCTTCCCTACCCTGACACTTTCTGTGGGAGGCCTGGAAGAATATGACATGATCCCAATCTAGGTATAGCTAACAGCCCCAGAAAAGACAGTACAACAGAGGGGTGTAATGGAAAAAGAGATTATATCTCCACTTCAGATATGTCAATAGTGGAAGGTAAGTAGAGTTCATTGCTGCCCTCATACTTCCCCAGAAATATACCACCAAAGAAAGGGTGGAAGGAAAGTGTTTGTGGAGGGAGAGGTAATTGCCTACATTGTTATTAAGTGGTGTGTGTATTGCAAAAAGTCCACACAGGCAATTATTGGGATGTACGCAAAGAAACAATGAGACTGATTCACCCTTGTATCCTTCCAGTTTTGTATCACAAAGTCCTACTGAAGACAGTGGTGTCAGAAGTAAATTTGCTTACAATCATAATAAAACTTTTTGACTGTTTTCTAAGTACCCCAACAAAACCCTTCTCAGAATACAGGCTTGCCAAGCACAGCAATGTTTTAGCTTATGAGAAATGCATTCATGGTTATTCGGGTTTTAAGTAACATGCTCTACAGTCCCAGTGTTCCATGCAAAGTCTCACTGCACGTAACCACATCAGGAAAGGTTACATGCATTTATTAAGGAGTTCCTCATTTCAGTGCACAATGCAAGAAAAATACTTGAACAAACTTGAATCCAAGGCCACCCATTAGCTGTTTCCCTGTCTCTGTGAAACTGTCAGTACAAACATTTGGTGGGTAAAAAGACTCTTGCACAGACATCAAGAAAATCAAAGAACATGATAGATAATGAGAAGACAGGAGAGGTGAGGAGGGTAACAAGAGTGAAAAGGAGAAAGGCAAAGTGAATACAGAAAAGAAACAATGAAGGAAATAAAACCAGGCTGCAGAGAAGAGACAGCTCAGGGTAGGAAAAAAGATCCAAAAAGCAACTTTCAAAAACCCCAGAAATCTAATCCTAAAAACTCACTGTCGGTCAAGACAAGATTGCTGGCAATTTCCTGCACCTCTGAATCCTACTGGTCACCTTATCTTCTTATATAACACAGAGAACTGATTTCGTTTTGGGAAAATTAAAAAGGCAAGAAATATTTAACATCTGCCAGAGTGAGATGCCCAGAGAAAGAAAACAGCTCATTAAAGCAGCCCAAATGAACAGGGATAAGAGCACAATAAATAAAAGAGCACAATTGTAATAAAATTTCAACAACAGCAAAGACAAAAAAAAAAATGGGTAAAAAAAGAGAAATATGTAAAAACTCCTTAAACTGGATTAAAATAAAACATTCTGCCTCTCTTAACTTAGGGGTATTTAGGCAAGGTTGAATAAACAGAAATCAGCACTTACAATTAAAATATTGAAGTACATGCAGTTTTTATAAACAAACTCAAAGCTTAAAACACAGTTTACTTACACAGGTAGACAATCCTTCTAAACTCCTGAAAGATACCATCTGATATAAGCACACATTACCAGCTTTATTTATCTCACTTCTCACTGTCAGTCTTGCAGCTGATTTGTACAAGATGGAAATTCCCGTTCTAGGTAAGATTGGAGTGGGAACCTGTATTTCTTCTTTATGATGAGACCCTGCTTTGTTGCTGTCAGTATGCACAGGAAATAACAAACTGTACTGAAAGGCACCAACATGATTAAGTGCCCGTGTAACATTAAACCCGGAAGGAGCATTAACCCTGCCATGTAACTTGTTGCTGTAATCGTATGTGCTAATGCGTCAGCTTTGCACAATCTCAAACAGATTCAGAAACATATGGCATAGCAAAACAGAACAAGAACACAAAGAAGTTAAAGGAAAACTTGTGCAGCCTGAACGTGTTTCCTTTTCTGAGCTGTAACTGCATGTTCCAGGGAAGAATTTGGCAGTCAGTCAAGAAGAAGTATATTCAGGACGACTCTGATAGAGAGGTTATGAGAGGACAGTCTTCAGGGCCACAGGCCCGAAACAAGGATGGCGATTTCTCCTTGGAGCAGACAGAAATTTTGCAGAGGTCTGTAAAAAAGTCTGAATGTTTTGACAGGACAATGCAAAGGTCAAAAGGCAAGTGGGGGAATGAGGGATTTGTATCAGGCTTTGTCCAAGAATCAAATGATAATAAATGTGTTTTCTCAGCTGTGCTAAAATCATAGTTATGACAGATAAGTATATAAGAACTGAAGGACAAGAAAAAAATAAAAGTAATTTTTTTCATGACCAGAGGAATTCATAAAATCTGTTTTCCTGTGAACTGCTGTCCTATGTCTCCTGTTCCTACCTTCCCTGCAACTGCAGTAAACCTACATTTCTGCTAGGTCCAGAACCCACCTTGGGAGTCTCCCGCCATTTCCCCTCCTGCTTTTCCTTCTAGCATAAGCTGGGCAGAGGGATGAAAGCTGAATCCTCCTGGCTCTCCCTCCCAAAGGGAACTGATGAGGGTATCTTGTCTTTCCTCCACCCAGACACCTATTTTCATGAAGTTTGCAAAAATCAGTTATCTCTGAGGCTTTCTGCCGCACTGTCAAATGTGTCTGAACTAGATCATTAAAAATTAACAAGGGGACTTGATGGAGAGAGACCAAAACAACGTTTTCTTTCCTTCAACGAAATTAAGGAAGAAAAAAGAATTACTGTGGTTACTTTTGGTGCAGAATGCTAAGAAAGGATAAAGAACAGGTCAGAAAATATCCAAGATACAAAACAATATTGAAAAATGACAAATTGATATTATGTCTCCAGCTTCTGCCATTTCAAAAAAGGGATGAAATAAGCAGATCATATGCAGAGATAAGCAATTAAATCATAAAAATTGTGGGCTTTAGGGTTACAATTCCTTAACACCGAGTTCAGAGGAACACGAGTGGGCATGAGACAAGTCCATGGCTATAAAGCAGGGCCCGGTGTAGAGCAGCAGAAACCGGGCTGTGTTTCTTCTTCCTCGTAACCCAATGGTGCTCTGCAAAACTTATGTTCCCTGCAGCGTATATGAAACACTAATAAATTATGACAGAAAATCCAGCTTAATGCAATAAATTAGGTAA